GACGAACTCACAGGCCCCACCGGTACCCACCGCGCCAGAGTGGATCCAGGCATGGACACAGAGGCCCGGGCCCCCAGGGCGCACCATCCCCCCACCCCTCCAGGCCAAGGCCGGACAGGACCAGAGGGACTGAAGCCCCACCGGGCAGCCACCGGGCCGAGCCGGCACACGCCCAAGCACCCAGCCCCGGACAACGAGAGCCACCAGTGCGCCGGCGGGCAAAGGCACAACCCACCAGAGGACAGCATGGCAGGGGAGTAATGGGCCCTCAAATGATCCCTAAGAAGGGGCCGCCCAAGTCCCAGCCTGACAAAAATACAAGCATACACAAACACAATCACACAGTCCCACCCTCATCCTCTCACCCACTCATTCAAAGAAACACAAGATGGACGCCACAATCCACTCACACTCCCCATACATACATTATACCCCCCAGGTCCAGGATATGCACCTACCCCCTGCAGAGGGCAGCTCTCACCTGAAGCCAGGAGGTAGACCCCTTCAATCTGGGGTGGAGAAGAGTAAACAGCCAAGTCCCAGCCCGGGCCGCACCAGTCCGACCGACCAGCCCCCTGGCCCAGCAAAGCCACGCCCCGGATCACCCCCACTCCCTACAAACGGCCAGGTGCCCACCCCCAACCGACCATCCCCCAGACTCCGGCAGCCACCCCAGCCAGCGGGCCAACCACAGCAACCAGGAGCCAGACTCCGGGAGCCCGAAAAGCCCCAGGGAAGCCGGAGCGCCAGCCCCGCCTCCGGAGCCCCTCCAAGCCCCATGTCCGCCCGCAGCCCAGGCCCCACCAGACGGTCAGCCCCCCCCCCCAGGACCCCATCCCCAGATGGCCAACGGGGAATGGGAGAGTTGTCTGTAAATTACATAAAATGTCCTCATTTGCATCATGAGAACAGATGAAAATCTCACAATTTTTTTAAATCAAAAACTCAAGGGATGGGGTCACATGCACTCACCAGCTGAGTATAACTATCATTTTCTCCAAATACCACACACAAATGTTTGCCTTTTAGTCCAACATTATGTGCAGGATTTATTCTTTTTTTTTACCTTTCTATCTTTTGCATTTCTGATTAAACCTGTTTTCCACACCTTATTACTGAGAATAAGGGAAGAGGACAGCTGTGTTCACTGTGTGATCTCTGTCTTCAGTCCATCTCAGACCCCTAGTGGCAACTCTTAACCACGAGTCCTCTGGAGCAGTCTGAACTTTTCTTGAGAGTAAGAGTGATTCTTAGATTTAAGAAGTTTGATAACTGGCACTTACACTTAAGTCTGAGAGTAGGAGCAAATCTAAGAAATTTTCAGCACTTAAGTCTAAAAATTCACCAATTTTGCTTCTCCTAACAGCTCTGTGATACTCTGTAACATGAAGAAGTTTGATAAATACATCCAGAACTATCACTTTAAAGGATCCCCAGCTGCAAACCTTCACAATCAAATGAAAGTGATAATAAAAGAAAGGCTTCTACCCACCGTGATGTCATTAGTCTCAGATGTGGATTACCTGCTGACACTGAGCAGATAGAAATGATAAGTATGAATGGACACGGCTTGAATCAGAGCTGGCTCTGGATCTTTGGCTCCGCTGTAGCAGGAACATTTTTCTGCCTACTCAGATAATTAAATGTATAAAGAAAGCCATTTTAGTCTCATCTGAGAGCTACTTGAGTGGTCAAACAGTGGCAATAAAATATACGCAGAAGAACCACTGAAGATTTTGTTGCATGTATTTTAATTACACCCTAACACTGTTTAGTTACACTGCAGCCAAACTCCTTCTTTAATGAAAACAAAGCAGTAAAAGCTCACAAAGAGCTAAAAACCACACTTTGAAAGAGAAATGGTGGCATCTTGTAACTTGTTTTCAATTTATAAAGACGTTGTTAACCTGACCCACATCTTCATTCTAACATGGAGTTGTTATTACATCATATATCTACTGACAGATAACAGCTTTTCATACCAACAAAAGCAAAGATAGAAAATTAAAGCACTTTCACACATTTATAGGGAAGAAAAACAGGGTTTCCTGAGTGAATCATCTTTTTTATATTATAGGAATAATTTAATAAACATTTTATTGCTATAAAGTAATGCCTGTCTTCACAATGCCTTCGCAACTAAGTGAATGAATGAATGAATGAATAAATGAATGAATGAATGAATGAATGAATGAATGAATGAATGAATGAATGTACAATGACACAGTCCTACATTTTGAACCAGGCTGGGAGAGACTAATGCTTGGCCTTTCAAGCTTCAGACAATCACCAATAAAAGACACTCATCATAAGTCTTGTTGCTGTTGACTGCTCTGAACAAACTTTACTGAGAATCCTTATACCTGCAGATCAAACTAACAGAACAGTTTTAATGTTTGACTTCAACATGTTTTTGGACCTTTTGCCATAATCAAATTCAAATTGAGTGAATATTTGCAAAAAAACAATAAAGTTTATCCATTTGAACATAGTCTATCCTGTCTTTGTAGTGTATTCAGTTGAACATAGGTGGAAAAGGATTAGCAAATCTTCATATCCTGTTTTTATTTCTGTCTTGCACAACATCTCAACTTCATTGGAATTGGGGTTTGTAGTTCAGATCCCAGGTCAGGAAGACCAAATGCGTCTGGTAAAAGGACCTGAGTTTGTTTCCCTCATTGGTCTGGACCTTTTATGCATGAATACACTCATGTAAAACCTGGTGTACACAAAACACCAGCTACAATGATCAGAAACTATAAAATACAATACTGCGTCTAATATTCAATTTATCAGTTACAAAATTTCCTTCACTTGGATCCTTATTAACACTTTTGACAAGTAAGGTAATAATTTTTTAGAATCTTTTCCACAAAACCCCACTTCAAAAGATCTGAACTAACCTTTTAGGAGTCACTTCAATAAGTTTTTTGATTAAAAACAAAAGAAAAGTCAGTCTGCGCAGTAACTTGTTGAACATGTTTGTCACTAACTCACATCCCTCTGAGGCTCAACGTCAGTACCCATGCTTTGTCAGCTTGTTGATTTGATGTCAATACTTCTTATTCAGGTTCAATAAAAGGCTGCAGAAGAACAAAATAAGTTTCTCTTCTTTAGACAGTTCATTTCAGATCATTTTCTCTGAATCAGTTTTCCGTCAGGTGATCAAACACTAGTTTACTCTAAAGAAGCTCAACAGTAAGTCCTCTGATAGCTGGGACCTTTAGCGCAGAGATTTATTGCTCTTTGACTCTGGTGTTCAGTCATGTTCCTGTTTTAATACAAGCAGTTATAATGTTTCCTTTGGGATTTTGACGATCTGTACAAACAACACCCAGACTTAACTTTTCATTTTTCACCAGAATATTTACTCTTCACTCAAACCTTTTGTAAAAGAGCTGGAATAAAATCTTTTGCTCACATTTTTACTTCTAAAAAAGGTAAATTCTAATAACATTGTTATTCTGTAGTAATTTATCAGCTTGAAGATATTAACACCAGTCAAACTTATTAAAAAAACAATATTTTAAAATATTATGGAGTCTGTTTCTATCCAGCTGTTATTCAGAACGTTATAATTTGGATTTAAACATTAAAATGTTTGACAAAAATAATATTGAGTGTTTGTTTTTTAATTAGGTAAAATAGGCTATGTAAATAAAAATATGTGTAAAACTGCAACACATTCAGTGATTTAAGGGTTTTGTACAGAAAACACATAGCTGTTTGTACTCATAATTTTAAAGCATTTCTCTGTTCACAGTAGTTAGCATCTTTTAGGCTAATGCTAATCTTGATAAATAAACATTGAAAATGCTAGTTTTGAAACTGGAAATAATCACACCTATATTTTGAACATTTTTGCAGAAAGTCTTTGAGAATCTTTTGATTTCTTTTTCATTAGCAAAGTTTCTGCCTTGCATGTTTCAACATTCATGAAATATAAAATTGTCTTCCACACAATTATGCATCTTAGTAGCATCATAAAATCTGCATTTGAACTTTCCCAGCACCCGTGATATGACTAAAAATCCTTAGAGAAAAGACAAGAAGCTGTAATTGTTCTTTATTTTCAGCTGTTTTGTTCTATAAAAGTTTTATTTGATACTGAATGAAAATATAAGTTCAGAAAATCAGTGCATGTTTTGAGACTTCTGTGTTTTTCACCACAATGGAAAAAAATGCAGTTTTGTAAAAATTAATTTGGATCTAAATCAATGAGTTCAAGACTCATGAGTCCCACATGACCATACAAATAATACAAACTGTAATAACTAGCAGAATAGTACTAAAATTCGTTGAGTTATCACAGTTGGGTTAGGAGCAAGGTTAGGTGACCGTATCATCTCTTATCAAAAAAGACGATCTTCCTGATCATCTGCAACATTAATCCTGATTTGTTTGTGCATCTGTGCAGCAGATTTCATCTAAAATGTCAACAAATAAAGAGCTGGCTTCCTAAAAATCCTATGAAGCTGGACAAAGAGGCCTTGCCGGACCTGGAGGAAACCGACTGCTACACAGCTCCCTTCAGCAGAGCTCGCATGCATCAGTAAGTGTGGTGCGTTCACACACACACACACACACACACACACACACACACACACNCACACACACACACACACACACACACACACACACACACACACACACACACACACACACTTGTTTTTATATCTTTGTGGGGCCTGTCCATTGACTTCCGTTCATTTTTTGGTAATTTTATATCCTAACCCTGACCACAAACCCTAAAGCTAACCTCACAGGTACCTTCCTGACCCTAAAACTAACCTAAACTCAATTCATACCTTGGTCCTAAACCCAACCCCCACACCCAAATTCAGCCTCTGAAGTTGTGGGACCAGGCTTTGGGCCCCACAAGGAGCACCCGGACCCCACGAGGCTGCGTTTTCCTTAAAACTGTGCCCCACAATGTAGGAAAAACAAGGACACACACCTCCTAAAAAAAGAAAAAGAAAAATCACAAAGAAACAAAACAAAACAAAACAAAACAGGAAGGTAGGACCTTTTTTTTTCCTGTTTATGAAGTTTGAATTTCATCTCACAGAACAGCTTCAATTAACCCAATGAAAGACGTTCAAAGACTCCTGATCATTTTAATTATGTTTATTAATAACATAAATTTCATCTGCATTTGCTGCAAACATGAAGAAATGAGAACCAAAACCCACAGTATGTACTTGTAAAGCGTTCTGAATGATTTAGAAAATGTAACAGCATTCAGATGATTTTGCTAATAAAATCTAAAAAAAAAAAACACCTTTGAAAGAGAGTTTGACAAACTGGCATCACAAAAAGGGTAAAGAAGCAGAAACACAAATAAACAATACACAATTTTTATCAGTGACTTTATTAAAGAAACCAAAGAGAAGCACACTGAACTAGTATATGATGCAGCTCACTTGGTGTTTTTAAGAAAACAAAAGGATTGTTTACATGTGTTTTCACATCTGATTAGAGAGCGCTGCTTCTTACAGCTACATTCACTATCATTATCATCATGACAGCGAGGGATGAGCTGACAGTGGTTTTGGCTAAATGGTAAAAAAAAAAGGTAAATGGACTGAACTTATAGAGCGCTTTATCAAATCCCTCCGGACCCCAAAGCGCTTTACACTTACAGACATTCACCCATTCACACTCACATTCACACACTGATGATGGAAAACTACATTGTAGCCACAGCTGCCCTGGGGCACACTGACAGAGGTGGGGCTGCCACGCACCGGCACCACTGGACCCTCTGACCACCATCAGTAAACTGTAGGACAAGATGCAAAGAGGAGAAAAACTTACAATTTCCCCCTTACCCTTTCTCATAACTGGAGTCACATGTGCATGGAGGTCAAGGGTCACTGAACTTACCAAACCAAATTTAAGTTCCAATGATTAGTTCTAAACGTTTTTAAATCATTTTGGACCCAAGCAGCAAAACCAATGAGAAAGTGAAGTGCTCATCATCACCTGGTTATGTTGTTACTCTGACTGGTAAAATGGAGCATTATGATTTATGAGAAAATGATGGAGGAAACAATGTTAACCATTTTCTCACATTTGGACTTTTAATTACCAGTGATATGTATCAAACTACAGAGTACTGAAACTGAGTCTTAACACCCAGACTTCATATCAACATATCAACTTAAGCGAAAGGCTTTTTTGATAACTCTATTAGTTTTAGCTAACGTGGTCTGTGTCCAGCTCCCTGTACAGCACAGCTAAAATAAATCAAATGAACATTGTTCACAGACCCCTGACCATTTTAATTATTTTTATTGATAACAATAAAAATGCCATCTGCATTTGCTGCATACATGCAGAAATGAGAACCAAAACCCACAGTATGCATTTTAGATCACTCTGAATGATTTGTTAATGTGACGACATACAGGTGATTCTGTTAGTAAAAGGTAAATATACCAAAACATATTTGAAACAAATTGTTTGACATATTGGCATCCTAAAGAAAATGTACCAAAGCAAAAGCTCACATAACCAACACACTGAGTTTTTATCATTATGACCTTATTAAAGAAACCAAAGAAAATCATACTGGACTGTATGATGCAGCTCTGTTGATGTTTTTAAGAAAAAAAGAAACATTGTTTACAGGTGTCTTCACATCTGTTTAGAGATCACTTCTTCTTGCAGCTGCATTCACCATCATTATCATCATGACAGCGAAGAATGAACAGATGTTTTCCACAAAGTTTGTACTAAACTGAAAAAAAAAACATAAAACAAACATTTAGAGTGCTTTGGATGTTGACCAGGTTTTAGCAAAAATCTGAGAGTTAATGAGAGAAAGCGTAATTTCTGCAAAAAGCTTACAAACCAAAACTCAAACAAATGAGATGCGAGAATTTTCTGTTTTAATTGTTCACTATTGAATGTAGACTGTCTGTTGAGCAAAATATTTCATGAATAACTTAAAAGTTTAATGAAACGTTCAGAAATAAGTCTTACTTAGTGAGATCACTTGCCAAGGTTTTAAACTAAAACTCAATTAAGTCTTGTAATTTTAGTCTGTAATGTTTGGAATAATTCCTGTAATTTTAGGCTGATTCAGTAAATCTATAAGTATTTATTTATTTATTTATTTAATTCATTTTACTGTAAGTGTTATGTTGCATAAATTATCTGTGTTTTCATTTATTGTTTTCAGTGAGTAAGAGATTTAATTTAGTATTTACTGTACATCGTTTGCACAGAAGATGGCAGAGTAGTGCCAGAGGCGCTAGGTGTGGTTACCTGGTCTTCAGGTAGAGAGAGGTTTAATTAATGTCAGCAGCTGTTTACCTCAGTTTGCCCCTCAGTGTTTGGCAACCACAGAGATGCTTTTGGTATGTATGGTTCAATTATCTTTTGTGAATGAACAGGAGAAATATGAATTAATTTTGTTTTGGTTTTACATTTTCCTCCTTAAACAAGATTGTGTGCATAAATACTTGTTACATTAAAACAAATTTAAAATATGCAGTTTAAATTTTCACATGGCTTAATTTGAAAAAATAAGTCAAACTTAAAAAAATTTTCATGCTATAATTATTTTGTTTATTTTAAGCATTTTTGTTATTTTGTTTTCATAAAAAAAGATTCCCCTTTACTTTCATCAATCCAAGCTTGATATAACTAAAAACAGTTTTGGCTAAATAATACCTTGGATTTGAGTAAATTTTGTGTCTCTTACTTCAAATAGGATGAGTGCAGTAGGATCCAAAATCAAACTGACAGCATTTTTCATCTCCAGGGCATTCAAAGTCATAGTTACATGGATGTGCAAGCAGCTCAGTATCTCTCTTTGGCATGTTTTTAGAGAAAAGTGGGCTTAACATTCTTAAAGTTCTCACATTGGTTAACCAAACAAAAAATGTAAACAGAAACATAATGAAACACATGGAAGAAGAAAAATCCATCTTACCAGGTTTTGCCAGTATAGAGGGCACAAACAGACAAGCTGCTATAAACAGAACAGCTATTGTAGAACAGAGCTTCATGTTGATTTCTCACAATCAGAAATGAGCTCAGAACTCTTGTTTGGATGAAGATCTTTGAACAGAAACTGCAGTCTGAGCAGCACAGAGGATGCTGGGTCCTTGTGTCTGCATAAGATATATGGTCCCAACAGACATGCCTACATTCTTCACCAGCTTTGTGGAACCCAGTTTCAGAAATTCTTTGTTATCAGAAGATAAATATCAAATATTTTCAGTTTTCTAGGAATTTTTCCTTGTTCAGTTGTGACTATTGTTTTTGCAATGTTGTCAACAATCTTTTTAAAAAATTATAATTCGATCAAAAGAGTTAGCTCCATGCATGCAATGCATTTGACCACTTTTAAACAAACCATTGGTAACACCTTAAAGACCTTTCTTAGAGGTTTACATGACACAAACTATAATAATAAAAAACTGTGGTGTGGGCTCCTAGGAATTCATCCATCCATTTTTATTACTGGTTTTCTATGTTTGGTTGATGGTGACTGAGTAAAAACCTGTGAGACTCTTTCTGGAGGACAACATCTTAGACCACTGCTTTACTAAGAATGTTAAAAGTAATTGTTGCTGTTGAATAAAGAAAATTAATAAGATTTGTAAAACTTGTTGTTTCATTAAAATCCATTGAGTGAATAATGACACATTTTGACCTGTGCATCATTTCCAGCAAAAACTAATTATTGAACAGGTTTTTTAATCCTTTTGAGGTCAGAAATTTCCACCAAGTCATGTCCTGAGGCCTCAGAGGGAGAATTTGTGGCATCTGACAAAACAAAAGGTAACATTGTTGATCTTTAAATTCTAAGAAAACAACTGAGTTTTCAGGCAACAATAGAAAATATGTGATGAGATTTATGGTGATGGGTTGAAAAGGTCATCAGTTCAGATAGACGAGTGTAGGTAGGGAGTTGTTGTGTGACCAGTGGGTTGCTGGTTCAAGCCCACATCAGTCTTAGTTCTTGGGATGAACACTGCACCTCCTTGCCTGTTGATGGTCAATGTGTTTGGGTGGAGTCGGTGCATAGCAGCCTCACTTCTGTCAGTCTGATTCTGGGCAGCTGTGGCTACAATGTAGCTTACAACCTTTTGAATGACTATAATGTTAAATGATTTGGAGTCCTTGGGCTTGATAACACATCATATAAGTTCAAGCTATTTACCATTTGTTTTGCTCAATGTTAAGAAACTGCAATTAATATTTTCTGGTAACATATACAGTATATTACCAGAATGCCATAGGACCATAATATATAAGACCATATACAGTATTTGTCTCATTAATTCAGCTGAAACAGACTTTCATTGTCTTATCATAAACCATTATTTATTTCTGCATTTTTTAAGATGTCAGTGGTTAAATTCAGGTTTATCAGCTGTTCTTATACAAAAAAACTTGTTTTGTTGTTTTGCCTCAGATGACAACTTTTCATCAGCCTGTTTGAACCAAAAAGATGTAAAAAGAACCCACCTTTGCTCAACTGATTTAACTAATGTAGCCGGAGCTCCAAAATCTTTGTAAAGATAAACGACAGAAATAAAAAGAAAAAAATCAAACAACCCATATAAAAAAGTCAGAACAAGGTACCAAAACCAGTTTAATGAATTCCATTGTTAAATCTTGTGCTTTAATTGATTTATGTACCACAAAAGTGTCAAAAACTCAGAACAATGTCAACAACATGAACAGGCTAACCAGGATTTCTGGCCCGCAGCTGATCCTGAATAATTTGACCCTCATGGTGACTGAAGAGATGATGAGGTCAGATAACTTTTACATGACAGAGTGTCAGTCAGCCTAAAGTAACCATACCTACTGAAGCAACAGCTCACACACACACACACACACACACACACACATGCACACGCACACGCACACACACACACACACACACAAAACTCACAATCCTGACCATATTGTCACATGTCGTCAGTGTCTATATCAACAAAATTAGTAATAAACACTACTGTCAGTTTTCTTCGTATCCATCACATCCGTATTCTTCATGTTGAGTTTAGGAAGCAGGAGATAAAATCTGTGTTTTATATTTTATAACATTCATCCTTCAGCTTTAAAACCAGAGCCAGACTACTTGATCATAAATAAGATATCAAAGTACAGCAGCAGCTGTCTGATAAATATTTTCTTCCTTATTTTTTAACCTTGTTTCTCAGTTTGAAAGCTTCTGTAAAATTAAAGGTGTCTAAATTTATTTGTCAAGGAATTAATTCCATTTTTCTTACTTATTTTGGTGCTTTGTGATGGTTGGTTTACATCTTTTACACCATTAATAATGCTTTTAATACAAGGCTCGTGTCTCAATAAGGAGGATGACAGGATGATGCTGTTGTGTTACGAATAACTGAAGGAGGGTGCTGTTTTTGTTGTGTCTTCACCAGTTTCACCATCAGCAACAGAGAGACGTTCTTCTCAAACTCCACCAGGAGTAGGATAATCCATCATGTCCTGCAGCGCACCAAGTATGAAGATGGGAAATCAAAGATGGGTAAGGCGTCCAGTTTTTCTCATCTTTGCATAAACTAAACCTTATTTCTGACAGCAACTCTCTCTTTCTTTGTTTAATTAATTTGAAACATTCATTGGATGTCACAATTCTTGGCCAGGTCTTTCTTGGAAAATGAGATTTTTCATTAAGATTTATCTGGTTAAATAAAAACTTTTAAAAAAATCATGCAACCATACTGCACATCTATCACTTTATAGAGAGCATGGGGGAAATTAATTCTGCTGATTTTGACTTTAACAACTGCTTCAGAGTGCTACAAGTTTTGCATTATTTTTAGCATTACATAATTTGCGACAAATCTCACCTCTTTATTTTTTTGCACTGTTATAAAACCATCAAATCCTTCTCACTCCCACTTGTCTGGCTGCTGCTAGCATGTCTTTGGTGGAGTTTGAAGCACTGGAATAAATTTAGAAGAAATATTTTAATATGAGTGATCACTTTCCATAATGTGCTAAACGGTTCTGACTAAGAACTCGTGGGTTTTAATGAGTCTGTCGCTGGACTCCTGTTTCTATTAATAACTGCAGCTGAATGTTTAGTGTGGTTTCTGTGTGATATTTTGTATTTCTCCTCCTGAGATGGCCCCGCTTTATTTCACTGCAGGCATCAACCGCTTACTGGGCAACAATACATACGAGGCTGCGTTTCCTCCACATGAGGTGGGCTGAGTTTTCATTTGATCTAAAAAAAGAATAATCTGCTGGACTCATAAATTAGCAGTAAGAAGAACATGTATTTTTTTCTGAGGTGCTTTTAAGTTTTTTTTATCCTAAATAAAAGTTAAATAAAGGAGCAAAAACAAAACAAAAAAAATATTAGAGGAATTTTGATCTTTTAGTCTCAGATGTAGATTTCTGCACTCTTTCATCCTCAGGGTGGCTACAAGAGCAGACATCCAATTAAAACGCATGGAGCCCAGAACCACAGACATCTCCTGTACGAGCGCTGGGCCCGCTGGGGGATCTGGTACAAATATCAGCCTCTGGACCTCATCAGGTGATCAGTGACATGACATCGTCTTTGCATGTGAGGAACACAGGTTGTTCCCCTCTGCTGCGTGACGGCAGGAATATCTTCCAACGCTCCCTGGCCTCTTTTTTATTTTATGTTTCTGAACTTTATCAGCTGGGAAACAGGCTGAGGCTGAACTCGTTTTACTTTACAGCTGACGGGACGCCTCCGTGTTGAAGCACCATGTGTTAAGTTTACAATGACAAAGAAACAGATTGGCTAATAAAATCACAGATTTTGTTCACGAGACAAGAAGGGTAATTGAATTCATGTTTCTGCTTTTCAGTTTTGTCGTGGTATGATTTACCAAGAAAGCAGAAACACATTGGAATAAATGCACAGAAAGTCTGCGTGCATGGTCATCAAAATGATTTAATTCTGAGCAACAACAGAGCAGAAAGTCAATCAGGAAATCTGCTGAGTTGTGACTGGCGTGTCAGCGGAAAGCAGCCAGTAATATAACATCATGATAACATCATGTGACAGTTTACAACCAATCACAAATCACCAACTGTAACCATCTAACCAATGACAGGACTGTCAGCCTGGAAACACCTTATCAGAAATTACAGCGGTCATGCATTGCTGGAGTCTTGAAGTCTGGCCGATAGAGTAAAACAGCTGAAACTGGTTATAGTAAGATATGATTACTGGACAGTGTCAAGGTAGAACAGATATACATAATTAATCCATGACAAGTTTATTGACATTTTTATGCTTGCAGAAGTTGATCACCTCATAATTTAATCTCTGACTGTGAAAGGCTACAGAAGTCTTTCTGTTACGTCTTGTTCAAGAGTGCTTATTTACATCATCCCTCCTACTGTTTTACAAATACGCATTTTTAGGATTACACTGGTTTTATCAAGTTTGGGTCAAGCTGCAGTGAGAGCCAGTGGGAAACCTTTAGGCAGCCCGTTTAGAACTTTGAGTTGTTTTTCATCATTATTACCCTCTGATCCCCAGCATTTTTAAAAAGCAGTTTGTCATTTACTTCTGAGATTCTCTGAAATTTAAATGGATTGTTTTCTTTCTCTGTAAAATAGCTCGTGAACAGCTGCAGCACAAATCCAAAGCATAAGTGAATCATCCTCCCTGTTGTTAACAGCTGAAGATGTGTTAATATTTTTATTTATGCATATTTTCTCTACATTACCTTCATTGCTGATAAATGTGCTTAGCAGAAAAGTAAAGAAATTAGTGTTTGGTAGGTTTATTCTTTGTAACAATACTTGATAATAAATCTTACAGCAGGCAGCTGATTGGCAGCATCTTAAGGTACTAGAATTTCCAAACAAGTGTGAATAACAACAAAATAAGATGTTTGACAGAGAATATTTGGCAAATTTTTCATGTGCACATCCCACATACTCTGCTCATCCCACAAATGCATGTTCCTTACAAATGTGGCACCATTTAAAAGGGAAATTAACAGGCTTTCCAACAGTTTAAGATTTATTAACAAGAAGCATTATTACAAGAAAGAAATAATCTACCAAACACTAATTTCCTTACTTTTTTATGCTGTTTATTTTGAGTTTAACTTAATCATTCTGGAGAACTTTGTCGTTAAAATGTTTGTTTTCATGCAAAAGCAGTTTTTTTTGCTGAAAATGTAAAGAACTTTTAAAGTGGCTTTTTCATGCAGGTTGTTTTGACACAGATATTACAACTCAGTAGACCACGCCTGAAATCCTTCCTAAACATGTTGTTATAATCTGTTTTTAATTTGAGTTCCCTTAAGTCCTCTGGATCTTATAGCTGCAAACAAACTGATGTCACTTGTTTTCCTTTTAACGTACAGATATTTTAGTGTTACAATTGTTTGAAAACAAAAGAATGACTAAAATGTGTGTGGTATATTAGCAAAATATCTCACAAACCACCAGACAGATTTGAATAAAATTCAGATCTACAGCTGATTAGCTTTTAAAGTCACCTTAGTTTAAGAAGCTAATCAACTTCAGCCAACACAGAGATGGTTATAACTTTAATGATTCATACTGTGAGCTAAAATATGACGGGGTAACTGAGAGTCATTCACAACACATGGTCCGACCAATCCTGCAAAAGCATGAGAATGCATGAAAACAAGTCTAACTCTGTCCCTTCTCATCAGAAGATGATCTGGTGAATCTCTTCAAGAAATACTCGACTTCAATTATTCATACGGTTTTTAAATGTTAATCCCCGACCTTTTTCCACCAGGAGAGAGAAATGAGTCAGGATATCTTTATTTAAAAAAAGGATGTCTTTATTTTTGTCTTATATAAAAATAAAACTGTATATTTTACGATTTTTAAGATATTTTAAGAGAACAAATTGTAGTTTATTGCCCTGTTCTACCCTGTCGTTGTTTTTCTGTGACAGTGGATGTTGCTGATGTCAGGTTTGCACTTCTATAAAAAACTAAAACTTGTTAACATTTTTCTGCTCACATGTCAGTGTTGCAAACACATTGCTGCCTGTAACGGGTAATCACTGTTAGAAATAAAACAAGAAATAGTAGTGTTTTCCAATCACAGCGACCTTTTAGGCAGATCATTTTTTTGATCCATGGCTTCCACCTCACAGCAAACTAATGACTCGCTCAAGCCCACTCAACACACAACAGGAAATGTTCTTCAATGGTTCACTTTCATCACTTTTTATTGGTCTTTTTTGTTTTATTCAGGCGCTACTTTGGAGAGAAGATTGGTCTTTATTTTGCGTGGTTGGGTTGGTACACTGGCATGTTAATTCCTGCAGCCCTGGTGGGTGTTTTTGTCTTCCTGTATGGACTCTTCACCATGGACTCAAGCCAAGTCAGGTCAGTTCAAACACTGAGTCAGGTTTCATGCATATATCATACATATCATGCATATTCAGAAACACTTATATTTTTCTGACACTGTCTCATCAGCAAAGAGATTTGTGAAGCCAACACCACCATTATGTGTCCGATGTGTGAGGAAACCTGCGAGCCATGGACACTGAGTGATAGTTGTGTTTATGCAAAGGTAAGTCAAATTTTATTATTTATTAATCCAGAGGGAACCAGACTGTGGAATCCTACAAAAAAGGATTTTAAAAAAATCTATGTAGTCATTTCTATGGCTCTGTCTGATGTTAATGATTTTCAGTTATTTATTTCTATTTTATTTTTAAATGTATCACTTTGAGATTTACAAATGTAAATTGCCCTATAAATAGAATTCATTATAATTACATCTAAATGATGTATTGTTCAAAATTAATATTTTTTTAAATATTTTAATCATTATTGTTAGTTGTGATTAAATAATTAAGTGCAACAGCGTGGTCACAGTTTTAGACAAATTCATCTTTTTTTGAGACAGAAAAGCTTTGTGGTTTCAGTTTATTTTGTGTTACAATTGAAATAAATAAATCTAAATGTCGTGATTGAAGAGTTTATTTTTACCTTTAGCTTGATTTGTTTTCTGTGGTCAGAACAGGTTATGGGCACTGACCGTAACCTGTATAAATGGTTGTAGATAACAAAAAATTGCAAGTTTTGTTTGTTTATTGCTTGTTGTTTGTTGTATACTGACTGCAGATTAATTTTGATTTTTAGCTGTTATAAATCAATGGTCTGCGTTCAGTTGGCTGCTGAGGCCCTCAGCGAACCTCAAACAACTCAGACTTCAAAACTAAAAAACTGAGAAGGTTACCTCTTTACAATTCAAGTGCTGTCACAAATTACATACAAAGAGTTAGTAATTAAGTTAATTCAACAAGTTGTAAACTCAAACAGAAACAATTTATGAGTGTTTAAAGAGCATTAGTTAAAAAAAACAATACCAACAACATTTCTCTTCTCCACCTGGATTTGGACAAATTTAGATTTAAAATATAAAACTTTTGTCAGTAAATTACTGTCAAGTAATGATTGTGAATATTTATGGATACAAAGTTTGTTTTTGCATTTCAAGTTATTCAATTACAAAAACTAAACTGAGCAACTAGCAAAAAAAATTATTTTTAAATGAACCTGAACAACTAAAAGTATTACACCTGCCTAAAAGTGATCCTGTTTCTGTGTAAAATTAGTTTTTGTATTTTTTTATATGAATTATGGTTTATGCTCTATAAAGTGCTTTCATTCTTGTCAATAAGTTATTTATAAAGCGTTAAGAAGTTTTTTTATAAAGGTAAGTTTATTGTGAGGTGGTACCATGAAAACAGCTGAAGATAAAATCTGAATCACAGATTCTGGACTTTATTGAGTGAAGCAGGCAGTTTCTGAGTATTCATATGAATTAACTCTCTTGAATCAGTAGCAACTCCCCACTCGCTCCACTCCAGGCTCTAAAAAAGAACAACTTAATCTTTAAAAACCTGGTGGTGACCTCTTCCAGAAGTGTCTTGACTCAAAGCACCACTATGCTCAGCAGCACAGAGCGGTGCTTCAGGGGATCATTGTTGCTGAAAATATCACTGGCTTTTCTCGTTTTTTGCTGAGGAAATTTACAGATCAAAATGTTTCATTATCATTATGAATTCATCTTATCCTGGGCGACATGTGGCTGAACTGTTACACTCTGGAAGGTGCTTCAGGCCCATAAAGTCAAAAACAGTCTGCAATAAAGACAGACACTTTTAATACTTTTATTACAGAAAGGGATCGCTACAATCAGTAAATTAAATCCCTCTTTGCTTCTTAACAGCTCTGTGATACTCTGTAACATGAAATGTTCTGGTTTCTTTTTGTCTTTATTTTTATTCTGAACCAAGAATTGTCATCAAATTCCGTTATATCCTTTCAAGCATTACAGAGATAATAAACAAGCTGTTCTGTTCTGTATTGTGATGAAATTCATATTACACAGACCTGTTGGAGGCGTGAATTCCCTTTAAGTTTGTTTGAACTGCTTCTGGTCTTTAAGCTAAATGAATCAGCTTATGGCTGCAGCTTCATAATTACTTTGCAGATGGGAAAGTAGTGTTCAATCTGCTTATCTGACTCTATTTTTAGCAAACTGGTAAACTGAATGGTGAAGTAATCTGAAGTAAAATGTCAATCAGCAGATGTGTTTTAATAAAAAAATGATTTTGATGCATTAAAAAAAACAATTCTTTTTCTCGTTCATGTTTTTAGGTGACGCATCTTTTCGACAACGGTGGCACGGTGTTCTTCGCCATCTTCATGGCTATTTGGGGTAGGTTTTGTTAATGCTTCTTGTTTCCATCAGCGTTTACTGTTTGCTTGCTGTAAACACTGCTGGTCTTCAGATCTATTTATGTAGCGCTCACACTTCAGTTCTCCACTCAGCTCTACCAAACGCGTAAAGTTATTTCAGCTGGAGATTTCAGTCCAGCAATCACTCCGAGGTGAGAGCTGCACCCTGTGATCTGTTAGTCAGAGGATAAATAATGGTCTGCTTTTATTATTTTCCTCCCCTCTGATTGAATGTTAGCTTCTGGTACCTTCCAGATGTAATTAGCTGCATAATTATCCGTCTCTTCAGACAGAGATTATTCGTCTCCTGTCAGAGAAGAATAGAGCTATAATATCGGTTTATTGCAGTCACTTTCCCTGAGCTGTATTATCTCTAATGCAGTGAGAGAGCGTCAGTGTGCAGAATCTCAGCCAAATCTATTTATCCACCAGTATTCACCAGAGGGAACTCTTGGCACATTTTGTTCTGTGTTTTGGACTAAATGAAAGTGAGGAAAGACCCAGCTCTGGCTGAGAGAGTCAGAAGGCTGCTTTGTGCAGGATTCTGTGCCGGTGAACGAGTGCGCTTCAGGTCAGCTGTTTGAGTGCGTTTGTTAAAACGACATGAAAAATTTGTTAGCCTGAAACTGAAAGTGGGTACGCTTCTTCCGGATCTTTAAACAGAACTGGGTCAACTAACGTTTTTAAAGTTTTCCTGACAAACCATTCAGTTTATTTTGATCTCATAATAAATGTGAACTTTATTTGGACCAAAATGGTACAGAAAATTTCAACAAAGCATGAAAGTATTCAGCTTGCCTTTAAGAAAATTTAAAATAGAAAACCAAACCTGAAATGTGGAGAGGTGAATGTAGTTTATGATGTTTTATTTTGATTTATAAACCAATTAAATAGCAAATTTTCAGCTTCATGAGCTCAACCAGCTCCTTATCAATTATTTTCTGCAAAATCCCATGAAATTTATCTTCTGTCTATCCCAAACTATACATACACTTATACTTTGATATAATTCTCAAACTTTACATCCTTTGGAGAGAGAAAACCAAGATGTCCCAATTCGATTGGCTGTCCCTGATTTAAGGTGACATCTTCTCCACAGCAGATATGGAGTTGAAGAGAAACTCTTCTTTCTTTTTTCATTTAGAGACAGAGCAAGACCTTTATACAATGTATGGCACAGAGGTGGTGTTTTTTGCGGGGGGGGGGGGGTGCATATACAAATAAAGAAAAGCACTCTGGATTTGAAAATTCAAGATGGTCGCCACAGCCAATTCCAAGTGGCTTTAATTCAGCTTTTTCAAGAAACATTGAGCTGAAATTTTATGTGACCATGACTAAGCATGATTAAAAGAAATGTTGAATGCTACGACAGCTATTCAAACATATAAAGCTGAAGATTAGCGTAGAAGTAGCAGAAAACAATATTTACAACATTCTAAATATTAATTAAATATTTAAAAGCTATAGTTCAGCAATCTTAAGACTTATTGAGATTAAATTTGTTATGGAGTAGCTAATTATCACATGCCGATGCTAATACCAAATTAAGCTAACCACTAAAGCTAATGCATGATAATGCCATTTTTAAACATACACAGCTGAAAATGTATGTAGTACAGTAGAATCAGAGAATATTTTTTAACATAGTTTAATTGCAAATATAAAATCCTAGACTACCATCTACTTTCCAATCACACCTGGGGTGGCCACTCAGGTGCCAGGGGGTACTTGCCACCCTGGCCAGCCCTCTGGCTCCACCCCTGTGTTCATTATAACATTTATCTGGGTCAACTGAATAATAATGAGTAGACCCAACATGTGGTTTGTTTGTCAAATTACAATGGAAACCTGGTTTGACTTCCAACAATGTCTAAACATTTGTTCTGCCTACAACTTATTTAGGACCCAAAACAATTCAGAGGGGCCCCTCCCCTCCTGGGAGGTTGAGTCCCACAGTTTGAGAACATCTAGACTGTATGAACAAAAGTATTTGGCCACACCTGCAGGTATTTGACTTAGACGTTCCTTATTTCTTGTGTTGGGTAATCATAAAGTTTCAGCACACTGAGATATTTTGGATAAAGTTATTCTTCCAGCTTTGTTGCAACAAATAAGATCTTTGTCTTTTCCAACCTGGCTCTGCTCCAGTTTTCAAAGCAAGGACCTTTGGGATTGGAGATTGCAAGTCGATCTTCTTGTTTATCATCAGTGCCTGACATCATAAATACCCTACAGAATGAATGACACAAAATCATGTGGAAAACGTTCCGAGACGAGTGTAAGCTGTCAAAGCTGGAAGCATATTAAAAATACGATGATCAAGTGTGCCCAAATGCTTTTGTTCTTATGGTGTCAATAGTTTGTCTTTTTATATTTGAAGACAAATTGTGTCACAGATCTCTGTTTTTGTTCCATTCTTCATGTTTTTAAAAGTTTTTTCCTGATGTTGCATATGTGTGACATGCAGGGCACATACAAAAGAACCATCATCCTTTCTGGCTTTTGCAGCTGAAGTCCCAATATATCCTGACACAATGGAGTACAATGACACCAGTCAGAAATTTGCTATCAAGAGGCTTAGTTTGAAAAGCCTTTCAATAAAAAATAACAATTCAGGGGTTGAACACTGTACAAGTAAAGCCTTTTTGCTGCTGCCGCTTTGCTTTTAACATCTCCACCAAAGCAAAGCGGTGTGAGGGCTGCATTCAGTTTCCATAATGATCCATGAACATGTCTGCTCTTTCATTCAGGATGTCTGAGCATATCCTCAGTGAGTTACCATTTCTTTATGATACGAGTCTAAGTCTATCAACAGCATGATTTATTCCTGCTTCCTCCTGCAGCAACTGTTTTCCTGGAGTTTTGGAAAAGAAGAAGAGCAGAGCTGACCTACGACTGGGATCTTATTGACTGGGAAGAGGAGGAGGTACATCAGCAGCGTACCCTAAAAATACCCAATAACTCATCAATTTTTAGACTCTTGTTCAGTTTTTTTTTTTTTTTTTTTGGCTTTAATCAAAGCTCATTATTTGTATTAATGCCATTCAGGAGGAGCTAAGGCCTCAGTTTGAAGCCAAATATTCCAGGATGGAGAGAGTTAACCCAATCTCTGGCAAGCCTGAGCCCTTCCAGCCTTTCTCAGACAAACTCAGCCGGCTCATGGTGTCTGTGTCAGGAATATTCTTCATGGTAGGACCTTTTATCTCTGTAATCTGCCTGCTTTTAGGAATCAGGGATAGACTGAGCTCACACCTTTTGGCTGTTGTGTAACGTCTCCCCCTGCTGGATGAAAACTATATTTAAAAGGCTCCCCTCATCAAAATAATATTTTTGTCTATTTTTTAAGCTGATTAAAGTTTTCTCTCTTCACCATCCCTTCAGCCTGAACTAATAGTTTCTCTCGTCGCTCTGTTCAGATCTCCCTCGTCCTCACAGCTGTGTTTGCCGTGGTGGTTTTCCGTCTTATTGCCATGGAGAAGTTTGCTTCCTTCAACTGGCATTTTGTGAAAAAGAACTGGCAGTTTGCCACGTCTGGCACCGGCGTCTGCATCAACTTTATGATCATCATGTCTCTGAACGTGGTGGGTGTCTGGACAAGCATCATCTGTTTACGTGTTCTGTCCAACAAACGTTTCACACAGCTTTAATTTAGGAATTTGTTCCAAGAAAAGTACATTTTTTCAGAGAAACGTGCTTCTCATCCTGTTGATGCTTATGAGTTCTTTCACTTTGTCAGGTCTATGAAAAGGTGGCCTACCTGCTGACAAATTTAGGTAAGTCTTATATGCTTTATCTTTTTATTATGGCCTGCTGCTGAAATGTGGCCATATTTGCAGGTGTCTGTTTGCGGCAGTTAGCAAAAAATCTCATAAAGAAGTAAATAAATTGTAAGAAAACTTTCTGAAACAAATTAATAGATGTAGCTGAGAGTCATCTCTAACAGATAATGAGCACTATTACATCGTATGGGAGCTTTGCTTAAAGCATCAACATCAAACTATGTAGTCAGCTGTTTGTTAGCAAAACCTCTTTTGAGCTGAAGGACATGTTTTAATAAAAGTCGTCAATAAATGTACATTTATAACTTATTAACTGATGGAGTCAGCCCAATTCAAGATGGCCACCACAGCTAGTTTAATCATCTCAAATGAGAATGGCTTTAACTCTGTATTTTTGGCACATATTGAGCTAAATCCTGATGTGGTAGTAGCTGGGAGTCATCTCCAACCCGTGCTCTGAATGCAAGCAGATTATGCGAAACATTACAAAGTTGCATTCCCCAGAGTTGATCAAAAAGGCTCTAACTCGGTCATTTGTCAACAGCAGACAGACGATAAGCATTCCTTCATGCTGAGCCTTTTGTTTCTGCTGAGTATTCACTCTCCTTCACCCCATTTTTTTTTCCACTTTATTATGACTCCTGTGATTCTTCTTCTTCAGAGCACCCACGCACAGAGTCTGAGTGGGAGAACAGTTTCGCTCTGAAGATGTTTCTGTTCCAGTTTGTGAATTTAAACAGCTCCACATTTTACATCGCCTTTTTTCTCGGAAGGTAGGGCAGCAGCTGTGTGCTTCGTTCTTTCTGTTTTACAGGGATATTTGCTGACAAACTGCAACGATAACTGATGTCCTGACCGCCACCTCAGTGTAAAGTCCAAACACTGCCCTGGCTTGCAAACATGACTAAACTGTTGTTTATTTGAAATCATTATCACCCTTAAAAACTCTTTGTTTTTCCTCTGTAACATATTTTATTAGTGACAGACTTCAGCTGCTAATGACTCTTAATTTGCTCAGGTTTGCTGGCAGGCCTGGAAAATACAATAAGCTGTTTAACCGATGGAGGCTGGAGGAGGTGAGCTCACTTTCAGAACGTGTTGTGATTGTTTCAGCAGTCAGTGAGGTGATTACTGCCCTCCGTTCTTCAGAACTCCTCAGTAATTCATCTTTCTAATGATCTGTCTGCATATTTTCTGTGTGAACCGTTAATCCTCTGCAAAACTACCAGGATTTTCAATGATCAGGAAACAGAGTGGGGATCGAGTGGGTCCATGGACATTTTCATATCTTTGTATTACCAGGCATGAAATATTGATGCTACAGTTTTTTGTTGTTTTTTTTTAACTGAAATGTATTTTTCTCAGTGTCACCCCAGCGGCTGTTTGATTGATCTGTGCTTGCAAATGGGTGTCATCATGTTCTTCAAGCAAATCTGGAATAATTTCATGGAACTTGGTTATCCGTAAGCACTGTATTATGATCACATTGTTTCTTTTAGTTTGGTTTGCTTTTCATTACCTGGTTGATTTATTGTTCTTTTGGGTTATTACCATATAAAAATACTTTTCTTTGTTTTTGTTTCTTTTTTTTTTTACAAACGAGCACAAATTTGTCTTTTAAAATGTAATTCCCGCTGCGCTCATTGTGCTGTCTAAAATAATTGCTTTCAGTCGACACTAATTACCTCCTGTTTTCTCAGCTTGCTGCAGAACTGGTGGTCTCGTAGAAAGATGAAGCAAGGAGGCGGTGGAGGGACGAATGTGGAGACCAAAACCCAGCTTCCACAGTGGGACAAAGACTGGAACCTTCAGCCGATGAACGCCCACGGGCTGGTGGATGAATACCTGGAGATGGGTAAAACTTTCCAATCCTTTAATTACCTTTGAAAAATTACAAACATATTTCAGTTTTTATTACCCACAGCTGAAAGACAAATGTTTGTCAGCAAAATATCTCACAAACCACCAAAAGGGTTTTAATCAAACGTTCATAAGTAATAGCTAATGATTGTATTTATACAGCTGATTAACTTCTGAAGCCGTCTGATCTCATTAGGCAGAAAATAGCTGTAATTTAGTCAACATTATCATAGTTAACATTTGGTGTGACAGCAGCTGAGAGTCATCAACAACACTTACCTTGACACAGCATAATTTGTCTGGTGCAGTTCTGGCCCCACATAACACACTAACACGCTGACACTTGACCCGGATATCGCAAAGTATGATTGACTGATTGATTGATTGATTGATTGATTGATTGATTGATTGATTGATTGATTGATTGATTGATTGATTGATTGATTGATTGATTGATTGA